TCGATTCTGAAGCACTCAATGTTTTCTCTGCTTTTGCAATTAAAGATTTATAATAGCATACGTTATATTATTCTTCAAGTATAAAAAGTTGAAATTTTTTAATGTAACAACTTTACTGGCCTGATTTTATCTTGTGCCTCTTGCGCGTGATTCTAGCGGTCCTCGATAAATCAGCTCGCGATTTCATTTCTCATTTTGCAAGATTTAATACGGCATTCCTAGGACACATTCGATCAGACATCCTTTATGGGATTCAAGCAGGCCGCTCAGGTAGGGTAACAATAAAACGCTCCATGTCTAGTGGTATGCGACGCAACGCGCCAGGAATTCGTGCAAGCCAAATTCCTCGTGTAACCAAACTCGGCTCGTATTGTTGCGTGGAAAAACGAACGGGTTACTAGGATGCTCGATACCCGGCCAAGCTTTTCAATTACATTACACGTGACTACGTGAAAATGTACAAAATTTCATTTTCACAATCTTTTGTTACTCGCTCCGCATTGATTGATATATCATCAAAGGTAGAGACGGACAACGGAGATCGAGGATGAACGGTGTAGAAGCAAGACGGTGGCTATTTTTCCACACCATATGTTTTAACCGGGGTCATGTCCTCTCGCGAACTGTGGAACAGAATATTGAACAAGTCCACGACTGCTCTTCTGTCTACGGTTTGCTGTGCCATTTTGCGAGATGGATAAAATAAATTGCCGATAGAAGGAAGAGATATTGGGTTTTGTCTGAAACAAACGCATACGAGACGCGTTTAGATACACCGTATATATAAGCGGATAAGACCCGATCGCGTATGAAAAAGTGAATAAAAAATACGGAATACAATTTTTCGCGTGCCGTTTAGTTTTCGGGAAAATCGAATTTAAAAGCAGTTTGCATACGTTTGCATTTATTTATTCAACAAACAACTATCCCAAAATATAAACCGTAGATTTTTATTGGAATTTGTCAAATTAGAAAATATTTAAAAACCTTCCAACAATAACGCGAAATGGACATGATGATTATTGTCGTGATACAATTGGGCAGATAAATATTGAATGGAGTGGCGGTTAGAGAAAGCGTGATATTAAACGAAGATGGGGCAGAAAACGCGCGGTTAAGCTGAGGGAAGGCGGAGTTGACGTGGTAGTATTTTATTCTAATTAGGACCCTCCAAGACTGGGTGGTACGTGCAGAAACCAGAGAGCATTCCCGCATCTTGAAGACCAGTTACAAATACTTGTACCTCGAACCTTTGACGAACTTCTAGTACCTGTAACGAACCGTTGCCCTCGACGTCTGCTAAAAACATTTAACGCTCACATCTGTTCTGCAACTAGAGTCGCGTACCACGGCGCCTTTGAAGTTTACCCGTGAAATTGAAAGTTTATTATAATTGTTCAACGCGCGTGCTACCAAAGGCAAAAGCGCGCGTCAGATGGTCGGAACGTGTTGAAAATATGTTTATGAAGTTTGCCCAACCATTTATTCTGTCGAATTCTGCTCGAGATTTCTATTATATTTTATATTCCACGGTGACGTAGGAGAAGAATCATTTTGTTTGATGATAGAAAATGGGGTAACTTGATTGACACGTTGAAGATGCTCGTAATAGCTGTAAGGAGTAAGAAGGGCGTGAATTTCAGTAAGCGTCAGTTGAGCCAGAGCCTGTGCCAGCGAAGTAGTGCTGCGGGTTAACAACTGCGTGGTATAGTAGCAGTCAAGAAGTTGTATGTAAATCAACTCGGGGCGTTGAACGCGGTCTATAATTCCAAGACAATAACGTGGTAGAGCTTATTTGCCTAATGAGAAGCTGCTTGTTGCACTGTCCAAGTAAACGACTGTACATGCGTCACGTGTATTACAGAATGAGTAATTGTTCGAAGATTGAGATCGAGCGGTTTCACTTGGAGGGATTACACGCCATGTAGAACCTCTCCAGCGTAAGTCTTTGCTCGCACAAACGCAGACAACGCTAACTACGTTTCGGTTATCTACGTTCAAACACATTCACGGGTATTTAAATACCGTACGTGTAGTGAAGGCTACGTTTTAACTGACAGTGAGATTAAATTCAGAAAATTGTCAATGGCGGAGTATCTAACGAAGTTAGATAACAACGTCGTGGGATCTTTAAAGGATTAAAAGCCCTCCATAAAAAATAGGAGAAAAATTGTAGCGGAGCTCGTTTAATGAAAAAACAAAACAATGTGCCAGAGAAAAACATGCAACGGCGATTCCCCAGTGGTATTTGTTTCCATCCCACTTCTAGTTGTACATTCAAGTATTCACAGAGAACGCCTAACGTCGCTATTTACGTTTAGAAAAGCTTTTACAAATTCCTATGTTTCACGTACTGTTTTCCTATCTTTTTTTTTTTTTTTAGCGAACGTAATAAAACCGCGATATAAAAGGCTCTCAAGGTTTTTAACGTAGGGATACGTACCGAGGTGTAGACATATTCGCGGTTCCGCGGGGGGTTTGCATTCTCGGGAAACGTTCAAATAAGGACACCCTCGGGCACGAGTGAGTTTGAAAATAAAGGAAATAAAACAAGCTCTCCGGCTTGTGATGCTCTCTGGCATGCCGTGAATTCATTCGAATGAGAATGAAATACGAGCATTATTCTATTTTCGTAAAAATATACTGACAACAACGGAGCTTCGAGATCATAATTTGCAATTCACGTCAGACAGTTTTACAAGAAATATATATATTTTTCCACTTTTGATCTTCGAGACGGAAACGCCAAAGGCAGCTTTCGTCCCGATTCGCGGCTCTCTTCGACAATTTTACTATTTGTATAACTCGGAACAAGGAAAGGAGGCTTCTTTCGTTAATTTAGGTACATTGAGTACAAGATTTTGTGAGATGAAAGATACTAAATCATTCAAGTTAGAACTTGAACTTGCAGATTACTCGGTCATAAAATCCAAATGATAAATTATGGGATTACTAGAAAAAACTGAATGTGCATAAAATATTAAATCTGTATAAAATATTAAATGAATTATTAAATTATCAAATTTAAAATGCCTATGTAAAAGACCTTTTCCATTGATACTATGAATGTTTTATTTTATGTAAAAGCCCGCGACCTAATTACATGAGCTCCATAGAGGAACTTTGATGAGACCACGCGAGTTTTAGGACAAAGGAAAGGATGAGTGAAATATTCGGGAGCGATGTAAGCGATTGTACAAGTTGGCCAATAATCGTCTTAACAATTTCGAGACGGTAATTAATTCTCAAAGAAACAGGTTCGTAATGAGGTTCTTAGATAACAGGAATCCGTTCTAATTATACATCGTCCTCTGGATGTTCGACAATCACTTGGTGCCTCTGAAGATTTCGCAAATCCATTAGAATACATTAAAGCGAAACAAGCCCTTTCGGGAGTAGTAAGAATGAAATTAAAATTGAATCTCGTCCAAAGCGTTGAATGCAGTTCTGCTAACTTTTGCAATTGTCATTACCGTTGTCGTATTTCGTTTTCGAGTGATAAGCTTCCTGAAAACTTTTCAAACTTTCTCCTCCCTCAAAGTACGCGCTTCCTTATCTTTTCTATACTTTTATAGTAATCTATAGACTGCGGATTTCCATGAAAATTGAAACATTTATGGTGTCAATTAAGAGAATAAAGTTTACATGTTTTACATGATTTTTACATAATGCATTCTCCCAATTGTTGTATAAATCAAATCCGCATTACTACTATTCTATTAGAAGTGCGTAAATCGATTATTGCGTCAAGCCCATAAAAGTGCAGGTAATTTTCCAGTTAATTCCCCATTAAGTCGGGAAATTTAATGTGCAAACTGTTCCGAGCAAAGCAACGACCTGGTAACGATCGCCGATAGCTGGCCTTAAACGGATATGTTTCGTCGAAGCTTAGCGACGTGGTACCCTCTACATAACTGACCATCAGGTTGGTTAGCCTTAATGAACATGACGTTTACACATACAGTCAGTCATGAAAGTTCTTCGTACACCCCATTAAAAGAACATTCTGAGGAAGACAATCAATCATTGTATATTTATTTATCAACATGAGCAATCATACTAACTATTCTATAAATTATAATACATGTTAATGAATAAATATATTATACGACGTGATTTTCTAGTTTCTTCAAAATTACATTTTTATGGAACGCATTATGGAAAACTTTCGTGACGGAATCAATGTCAAGTACCATTTGAAACAGTTTACTACAAATTTTTGGAAAATGAAGAGATGAAGTATAAAAGTATACATACACAACTAATAAACAATGTCTTATGGTAAACTCGTGCATAGTTTCTTTTAATCAAATCAGTCAGTTGTTAATTTCAAGTGATATTTCTTATTGATTGATGCTGTAGGAATTCCTTTTACAAGCTACGCATACAGAATCTATCAAGGGAATAAGGTATTTTTTTAATACCTCGTATACTGCTCCCAGAGGCATAACCAGACAGGCCACCATTAGATCTGCGACGGCTAAACTGACAATCAAATAATTCGCCACTGACTGCAGATTTCGCTCGTGCAGAATCGCTGCTATCACAAACAGATTCCCTGCAACAAAAATTTTCATAGTGTCTTGAGAAGATTCAAACGTATAGAAAGTTTGCAATTTGTAATGATGTTCTGTAAAAGTTTAGATCAGACAAAATCTTGAACCTAGCACTGATGACTAAAACGTTTAACCGGTTCGTTTCACTGGCGCTAGATATCCAACGTCCTCAATAAATTATACTGAATAAAATGTACATTGCTTATTGATGCATTTTGTTTCGTGCGTCAATTATAAAAAAATATATTTCACACAGTGCAGAGAAATGATATTTATTCATTCTACTTTTGATTTTATCTGTCTGTTGAATATTTCACCGGGCACTGTATGCACGTATGTATGCGTCGCGAGCTTTGAAAGTGGTCGCCGGCAACTTTTCCAGGTTTGCACGCAGCCGGTTCGTCGTTTTAATCATAGATCCAGTTAGTTGCGCACGGCCCCCGAGACCCGCGCAAATAATTCATAAGCTGATTATGAAGGATTCTAGAAGAAGACGAAACTGGATGATTCCATTTTCATTTTCGCGAAATTCCTCGCGTTATTCGCTCGAATTAATAATACTTGATGAAAGATGCAACTGCCACTTCTTTTTAGTATTTGCATAAAAAAAGAAAATACATTCCCATTCTACACTTCGGTGCATATAAAATATTTTGAAAATCATCTATCATGGTTTGTCTTATTGTCCAGAATTATAAATTCCATTGATGATGAACTAATTTCGTGTAGAGTAATAAGTTATAGGAATTTATGGATACAAGCGCTTTCGGAGTTATTTAATCAGTTGGGAATGTGCGAACTGATAAATTGTATTATTGGAATGAAATACACGGTATTCGACAGGCTATGCATTCATTTGAAGAAATAATAAATTCAGCATTTCTCTCTGATTAAACGAAATAAAATACAAAATTACAAGATCTTGCGCTGTTTCTTTTAAACATCGTCACATGTTTGTGTCAAATATTTTTTTCATAAGCCTTTTGAGATAAACACCTACAAGCGAATTTTAAAAATTGCGAATTTGACAATATGTAATTCGCCTCGAATTTCATCAACTTCCTTTGACTCGATAACGCTTGCTTTCACAAACAGACATTGGTTACACTTGAGCTAATTATCCGTAGCCGAGTGACAAAGGTATTACAGGTAGATTTCGTTTGTTCGTAAACGAGAGACAGTTGTGTTGGGACAGTACGTCCCCTAATTAGTCTTTCAACGTTGACGTCGCTTTGAAGGTTTCGCAAACGTTTTGACAGTCGCGTAATCAGTTTATGCGTCCGCCGCGTTGGAGAGGCTCTAAGAGGGATACGAACAATCCCGGATTCGCGATTGTCAAAGCTATTTATCGCCCCGGCTCATTCGTTTCCCCTGTACCATTAACGACATTTTCAAAAATTAATTTACAACATGACCCGACGCCCAACGCGTCGATTGTCGTCAACTGACCGTATCAGGAACAATTAGCGCGTTTAGCGAGAGCAAATAACGCGTTCTGGCAAGTTCATTTATTATGAACTGCACGCTGCAAACGTTTCCACCGGGAGTTGTGCATTCACTTACGTTTGCCTACATTAAACCACCGTTCTGTGAGATCGCGTTGTTTTATTAGAATAATAGAACGAAACAATTCTGCGTGTTCCCAATACAAAAATAATTATCATTCATCGGCCGCTGATTAAACGATTCGTGAATTTAATTCTTGACTAACTTGCTATTTCTAATTGATTCAACCAATAATTTACCACTCGTTATCGCCTCCTGAACGCATCGACCAAGAACGCTGGTCGCCGTGAAAATGAAATTGCTTTCTACACAGTTTAAATCAACGTTAAAATTGACGGTTGCCCGCGTTACAGGCATCACGGTTACGATTAAATGGTTTTGTAGCCCATTTAGGTCATTCGCAAGCTTGATAACGCAACACACCGCGAGCACTCGCCACCGCGATAACGCAATCATTTTTGTAGGACACGATGTCCCGGCATAACGTTTAAATTCCATTTTCCTTCCTAATGACGGGTGTAAAATCAATGATGATGCGAATCGCGCAGGCGAACCATCAGTAGCATGAAATGTATGCTCCAAACGTAGAAACCGAAAACATACATGGCTATTACGAAACTGCAGATTTTTATACAAAATGCAACGTGTATGGTGTCAATTTAAAAAATTCGTTAGATAAACATTTATTTTGTCACTCAGTGCATTTTTTCGCTATGCATAGTCAGTTTCGATATTGTAGGCCTATTTTATATCATCGACCGACAGTCGTGTTAAAAATAGGTGTATCGGAGAAATGAAGATTCTCTAATTTCTGAAATGTAAAATACAATCATGAAAATAGCGCAATAAAGTACAGTAGCAGACGTGCACGATAAATCAAGTATGGAACTGGAGCCAGGAAGCTATATGCCTGATTCTGAAAAGCAATATGCGTGATATGAAAGCGCAATGCGCGCACGCGCGCTTGCCTAAGTGAAATGTATATGTTTATATTCCTAGATTTCAAGTCGCCAGTGCAAGTAGAATACGTAAGGACGGCACCACTCGTTGGTCGTGATTCATCTCTGTCCTTTGAAATTATTCAATTTCTCTCCTCTATGCGAATACACGCGTGAATGTCTGACTCGGCCGATGAATTCGTTGAAACCAATCTTTTCCTGTCCTCGAATTTCTTACAAGTTTTTACTCTTATCTCACAAGGCTCTCTCTTGCTGCTTTTTTACGATCGATCCTTCGCGCAGGGTGTATACACGAAATAGAATTTAACATGGATCAACGGGAGAGACGGTCCTTTCACGGATGGTCGTAAAACAGCAGGGAACCGATCAAAGTATATATAATACTATTGAGATCATCCTTGGGAATGAATACTGCTTGATAGAATAAACTATATCAACTTTATACTTTTGCTGTCCTGATTGAAAAATATCATGATCCACAAAACTAAATTCATGATTCGCTAAAATTAAAGACTGTCTATAATCATGGATGAAATTCTGGTGTACAACTTTTACCAGTGGTTTAAGTCTCAAAGCATTTTTAGATTTTTGAGACTTGATAACTTTAAAGAGTTACAGTTATGTTAGATTAATGTTAAAAATGAACAAACAAGAATTGGCTGCGCAGTATAGAAAGGTGTCTTGCCGTTTTAAGCAGAATTGCGATATTGGTAGGACGAGAATTGTACTGAGAAGCATGCATAAAGCTCGAATTTCGATGCGTCCACAGATATCTAACGGACAGTTAGTTAATCAGTGAATTGTATTAACAACAGAATTTATAGTCAGAAAGTTCTGATTCCGAGTAAAGGGCAGAGTTCCGGTTCGCATATAAATGTGTATGCTAACTCCGCAACTGCTCACACGTTCTGCAATTGGAGCGAGGATACTAGTTTCTACTAAAACCCAGCCACTTTTCTGATTAAGTTTATCCATATTTGATGTGCAGATGCTTTTTCAACTCGTGCGTAGAAATTTCGTAATTAAAAATATCGAGCTCTCGAGCACGGCAATTTTTCTTCCTAAAAAATAGGCCAGGCTCATAGCTTATCGTTGATCGTCGATGCGCATAATTTCCGCAATTAAAAATATTAGTTCTCGGGCATGGCAGCGATTTTTCATAAAAAATAGGGTAGCCTTATCGTTGGTGTTCTTTCGCCACGATTCACATTTATGATGCATTTGCTAGAGTGAACATCCAGAACGGCAGAGAGTAGCCTACGCGCGTGCAAGCGATGTGCGTTCGAGCGTTTGTCGGTACTGCAAGCCGGAAATCTACTGTCATATGTATTTCCGGGCTCGTGGCATGTTCACTGGGGTGCTTTAACTTTTAACTTTACTGCGGAGCACGGTGCGATAGTCAGATTGAAACTGTTCGTCACGAGACGACGCACAGTGGGCTGAACCGATCAAGTTCGTATAAAAATCGTAAAACTTTTCGAAGGAAAATATTAAAAAATATATTGTACGCAGTATTATCTTTATACTTTTCCCTTATTCTGTAAAATGTTCCATGGATCTGCCTACTTTCCTTCAGAAGTTCTACGATCTTTATATAAACTTGATCGGTTTAGTCAACTGTGCGACGCGGCGAGCCTCGAACAATCTCGGTGCCTTAAATAAACGTTCCGGAAGAAGGCGCTGTGCCTTTTCTTGCGAATACTTGCAAGAGTTGAATTCTTTCTCATGGTTTTCATGTAACTTGCCTCATTTTAAAGAATTTTCGGTCCGTGGTCGCGATGATTCGACCGTTCTAATTAAACTACCTCGCATATTCAACTAACCGGAACTTATACTTTGAGCAAGAAACTTTTCCCGAGAGTCCGCTCTGTAGGTTTTAGTAATATGTTACATGGTATTCTTTTTTCTCGTTTCTTGTCCTCGCTCGTTACCATTATTGCGGGTTTTATGCACTTGCAAGAAAATTGACTGTGCAGAAATGATAAATGCTGTAACGTGTAAAACTAATTAAAATTTTAGTATCTAAATAATAAAGGAAATATCTGAAACATATTTTTTCATATACTATAAATGCTTTATTTTGCATAAACTGCACAATTTAAATATAATTTTATAGTAAGATAGTGGGAGGAAAACTCGACAGTGGAAGTTTATTGTTAATTTATTGATGAATGAGAATGAAGAATGTAGATCACAGAATCGAATGATAAGTCTATGAATAATGTGAATGATGATGACATCAGGAGGACTTGAATCCTCTAATGATGAATGATAATACGTCGAGAGATGGCAGACTGGCGTGGAACCACATAAAGGTTTACGATCCTTTTCTATACAGCTTAAATAGACCATTCAGCGTCCAGGACGACTAAACTACCTTCTTTTTACTCGGTCATCGCGGAAATATGTATATAGAGGAGACGTGGTCGATACATAAGACCTAGTACCTATCCTCGCTATCCTTCACGCCAAAGAGACGTCCTGTCTTGCGATCCTTCGAATTTCCTATATAACTATTATGTGTGTATTAAAGGAAGACCGTGATTTTGGACTTTGCTTCGGTGAAATTGAATCTGTCGCTCTAAAGCTTTAGTAGCACGATTTCGACGACTTCAATTCAGGGAACGGGATGCGCTTTTATTGATACATATGATATATCACGACGTTCTAATCCATGGAACTGACCGTTCATGTTAGATGGGTGCGTATGAAGTTTGTTTCTCACGTGAATAAATCTTTTGACACGAACTGATTCAAGTAAACACTGGTTACTCCAATTACATATCTTGTGTTACTATATTCGAATACGCGATTGTTGGTTGTACTGCAATACCGCTAATGATCAAGCGAATTCGTTAACCAAACGAATTAATTAATAGTTATTAGACACACCATGCGTGCATATAATTGATTATTATAGGTACTATGCGGCTTAATATTAAAACCAATCGTCGTTGTTGCTTCCGACGATTATTACACGAGATTACCGAATTAGTAAGAGAGATTTTCGTTGCGTATATTTTTATAGCTTCATACGAGGTGATTATCGCTTGCAAAGTTATAGTATTATAAAACTCTCGATTCGGTAATTGGGATTTTCCAAGTATTGACCGCGGCGTTTACGATCGGGCTAGCTCGTTCGACAAACTAGGAAAAACTCGTTAAAATTGAAGGCACCGTGAATTTTCACACCGAAAGGCTTCGTGAGGAATTTACAGGATAGAACAGAGCATGAAATGGAACAGAGTAATGGAAGCGGATTTCAAAACAACTGAGTCCATTAACGATTAAATTGCAATCTCATTCGAGGTTCAATTTCGGCCGACTTCAATACACTTGCCCTCTCTTTTAATCAAATTCACTTTTGTTTCACACTTGCTTTTTGCTCCGGCACTCTTTTCATCAATGGTGAACCGTATGAAATTTATGAAAGTAGGCTTTGACTAAGAAACAAACTTGACGCACGCGTAAGAGATTGTATTTAAATTTATTTATTGAACAATGAATTAAAAACAAACGTCAGTTTATATGTATATCTCGAATAGCAAATAAATAAGATGAAAGAAACTACTTTTCTCAGAGAGAAAGAAGTAGTAAAAGCTCGATCGCTGACGCATTTTTTTGGGAGCGTTAAGTACACATTCTGGCCTCATGAAATTCTAATCGCGCCATTAACCCGGTACGTCTGATAACTCCCGTATTTTACCCCAGCGTCGAATCCGATATTCCTTCGGGTGCAACTTTCGCAGATCCTCCTCTCGATCCTGTCCACGTACGCGCCGAGACGTCACGTGGTTACCCTCGTCATTCCTGATAATATATTATGCGCCCACGCCACGGAACCGTGTCAGCTTTAAATTAATCTCCCATTGTAACCTACGTGCGGTGTAGTGGCGTGTACGTTCGCAACCGTTCCGAAGCTATACGATGACAACGGCGCCATTACATCAACCAACAGTGAGACAGATACTGTGCGTGCAGCCTTCTGATATAATAACCGGAAGGAGAGCGATTAATGGATTAGATGCTGCGACAGACAAACAAACACAGATTTCGAACAATCTTGTGTCATCATTGAAACGCCACTGAATTCAATGTACAATAGTATGTAAGCACCAGGCTCTCCCTAGACGAAACATCGCTCAACTCTATTGACGTATGCTTTGGCCCAACATTCAGAGAATTCAATTGTCCCGGTTTCGATATTATACATATAATTTAGTTAGATCTACAAGAAGTATATTTGCAATGTTTATTAAAGACCCGAGTAAAAAAGTAAAAGTACTGAACTTTACTATTTTTTAATAGTAATTTTTAAAAATATTTCTACATCTTAAACAAAATTAAAATGTTTGGTCCAGTATTAAAAAAGATGACCGATTGTATATATGATATGACTTTTCTAATGTCTCCTAGTACATATGATCTTCTCGACGCTCTTCATATATCCTCCTGGATTTGCCAAGAAAAGTTCGTTGCAAATGAAATTCTTTCGAACCACTTGCACAATTTATCGAATCCCTTGGGCAGATCGTTGAATCAGAGCTAAGGTGGTAAATGAGAACTTACCCACAACGGTGATGAGTATTAAGAGACCGAGGACCAGAGCCCTGAGGATGATCGAGGCATCTGTGAACGCAAGCCCATCCGTGGACGAGTTCCCAGCTTGGTTTACGTGTTTCTCCATGACGCAGGAGATATATTCTCTGTCCTGATAGGCTCTTTAATATCCGTCGGTCATCATCTTCTTAAATAATGTACCATGGTCCACCGCTACGAGCAGATGCACAGATATGAATCTTGTATTCGCGGCGAACGTGGTTACGACTCCCCGAGACGACGTCAGTTAATGCCTGTTTATTAAATTTCGAACACAGGTGTCCTCGGTTGACGTGCTCGCTCGTCTTCCGCAACCTTGCCCACTTTCCATTTCGCGAAGGAGCTTCTCTTCAAACATTAACTTTCTCGTATGTTAGAGCTCAGGTCTGTAACAGAAAAAAGTACTTACATTCGCTTGGGATCGTGTTTGTACTTTTTACGAATTAAGTAATAAAATAAAAGTAATGAAGCAAGAGAAATTACATCAAACGAGTCCAATAGCAAAATTTATTCGTAGTATAATATTGTTCGAGAATTGATTGAGAAACTTTATTGCTTGATTCTCGCGGAAGTGCTATAGGAAAAGAACTGAGAGGTATCACCTTTACGATGGTATGCTAAACCAAATTGGAGTAATCGATCGGTAATTTCTGGAATTGAAACTGCCGGTGGTTCGGTTATAAATACGAGCAAAACGGAATGAAACGTGGGAAACGGTAGGGAGAAAAACCAAGAGACAGAGTCGTGCGGCTGCGATGAACGAGTATCATAAAATTGCTTGCTGGGGTCACATGCGCTTTAATTCTTCGATAGACACGTTTCATTAACTTGTGCTCGCGGATGACCTAACGCGCTGTTTAGATTCGATTGTCGCGCGGAATCGAATCGACATGCCGTGAATTACCGTTTCACGGATTCCCGTCCACGCGGTCACACTTTTAAATATTTGTTCAAACATTCATTGTTCATTTTATAATTTCCCGTGCGCGGAAAAATACGAACGCGCAGCCCGAAATGACGTTGATGGTGTTATACACCGGCGACGAGTTCAGGAACTTGTACTCTTTTGAAGGCATTAAAAAAGTTGGGGGGAGCAGAGATAGGACGAGAAATAGAGATAGACTCGTAAAAGATGCGCGAGATAGAACAGCCACTTTCGCGGGTTATTAAATAAATTTTACGACGGTCTGCGCCGCGCTACGTCAGAGCCCTTTCTTTATTTTCATTTTGCTTTGAGGTGGCGAGATGAACCGTTTAGGTTTAAAGCGTTCTTCCATCCGATAACCGTGCAACATGTTTAATCTGCAGCTATTGAAATGCGCCGGTCAGTACGTCCAACGATTAGATTGCGGATTTTTGCGGACGTATACGTTTGCTAAAAAAATTCCGTGCGATTTTGTTATCAGTTAAATAGTGTTCCTTGCGAATGTTCGGCTAACCGGTAATCCGTGTCTTCGACTCTTGTAAGTTTCCGCAGGCGAGGAGTCCATCGAGGAAGAGGCAAGTTAGTTAGGCAGGGTTAATAGACAGCAGCGGCGGTGTAGCTAAACAATATGGGCAACGACACGCCAACAAAGTTGGTTAGGCCAAGAAACGTAATTAAGGATACAGAAGACAAGTTGATTTGGAAATACCGAGTTACTCTAACCGTGTCGGCTTCGACCGGGGAGAAAGCCGTGGCTCAAACCAACCGGGTTGTCTGAAAATCAATTCGATGTCACGACAGCACTGCGCGCCTGTTGGGTGCCAGACAAGTGTTTAGTATGCTTCAGGTGCTAAGCGAATCGAATGCTGGTTGCCGTTAGTTAACAAATTGACAAACACAATTAGCAAAATTGGGTTCAGATGCAGCAGTTTTTTTAAAATAAAAAGTAGTGTGACAGCCCGCGTTTTATTTATCAATACTTCCTTGTTAGACTTAAGACGAGCTGCTTGAATCGGAACGAATACGGACGAGCGGACGGCCGACGCTCTGGCACCTATCGGAGCTTTCGCTCCGTTAGAACTGTTTCAACAATGCTAGAGGACGGATATCGAAAAGGGAAAAAAACAACAGGATCAATTTATGGCATTGTACACATGTATTCTACGATGTATATTTTAAAAATCTTTTTCTCTTTTTCAAATTTTCATCTATCTCTTTCCTTCCACTCATAAAATCGTTGGCTATTTATTACATTAATCTGATTCCTCTGACAAGACCGATTCGCTAAACTGTTTGGTCCTGTAATTCATCATAAAAATGTCGATCTCAGAACGTAGCCCAGAAATAATTTTGTTCCTCCAAATCCATTATTGTACGCGATATCCACTTTGATTTATGAAACGTCGCTGAATTCCGAACTACAGAAACCAATGAAGTATCAAACCGACGATATTGTTACCAAGCTATACAGCTGGCTGCAATGTTACCCACTTGTTTTTTCCCACGGGAACAGTGGTCGCGTACGCTATGGGAGAAAATGGAATTGTAAATCCATAGTTGGTTTTATGTTGTGTAAAAAGAAAACAATTCTGTTTTATGTAATTCGTGAATATAATTTTCAAGTTGACCACAGCTTCTCAAAAGGCGTTATTCTCTTCCTTCATATAATATACTGAGCTTTTTTTTATGAATTAAATACTTTTATACAAAATGTATATAAAATATCCAGTGTATGACGACTTTTCTAATATTTCATAGAAGAATGATTTTCCTCAAGGTTTCTTTTAATTTATATTTTCCAAAATATGAAACTGCAAAAAAATCCGCGGTCTAATCATATCCTCATATAAAAATTCTTCTCATAAGCGTCTCGTATGATGAAACCTTCAAAACTTGTGAGGGAAAAGAAACTCATTGTTAAGACACAGGGAGGAACGATGCTCGCTCGACTTTGATTTATTAACGAAAAGACGGACAAAACAGGACTTTGAAAAAAGTACCTTCGAAACGAAGAATGGTTGACGTGTAGCATAGAAACTTTGAGCTACGAGACCTGCCCAAAACGTATATTAATATCCGACGAGGTGATAGATTTCTGACAAGATACTGATATACACGTATTAGAGATGGATTAACCAAACTACGCTAATAGCCTAATAAAATATCTAACCAGCTTGCAAAGATTAGACCTCGTGGGAAGTAAACCTTCCGTCTCCCGTTTCTCTCTTTCTCTGATTCTCTCGCCAGTCGACTCGCGTCTGTACGCACATGTACATCTCTATGTATTCGTCTCTCTGATTCTCCTGATACCGAACTTGTGCTTGGCTAACCAAGTTCTTGGTGAATGCGCTCAACAACCACGAGCCTTGTCTCGCAGTGCCGTGCCACGCCGACCGTCTACTGCCGCATGATTTAATTGCGAACTTTCCAGCCTTACGTGTAAACGTGGTCAAATTAGTTGGATATGTATTACAGCCAATTATTTCGACTTATCCCGACAATTTCCAACTTGCTCATACATAGATACACAATGGAGAGATAACAACCAAGAAGTAAATTTTCAAATCGTCTTCAATTATAATAAATACATCGAGATTGATGAAAGGTTCTAAAAACTCGTCGCACGAAACGTTTTAAATGTCAGAATGATTAAGACACGCAAGATGTGCAAATACAAAGATTGCTTTCTAAAATTTAGTGCAAGTGAGAACCTAGAATCTGTTCGGAAATACACAGAGATACAAGGACGGAATGTCGCAAATCCATTTCCGAGATGACGCGGTGGCTTCTCATTTCAAGAAAAAGCTCTGTCGGTGCACACAATAACAGAGTTTGTAGGTGTTGCCAAATTCCTTCTAACGTCGAAACGTGCCGGTCACGGATCAATTTTTCTATCTTCCCTCTCTCTCTCATCCTCTAATTGCCGTCTTTTACATATTAATCATGAATATTCAAACGGCTGGCGAAATCCACGATCGCGAAACTGGTAATGGAACGGCGAGATTTCCTCTGTTCGCTCGACCCACTTTTCTTTGATGAAAATTATTATTCAATTTAAGGGATCGAGTGGCGCGTGCATAAGCCTTCATTGCGCTCGAGCTACGACGAATGAAAAATTACGCGTACCGCCCAGTTTTACGCGAAATAAAATCTAGCCGCCTCACGAATGTACATTTCATTCATTGAAAACACCGGAGTCAGTCGATTGATATTTTATTCATGAGACGAGCAACTAGTTCGGTTCGCATTTGATCTCTTGCGATCGTCTTTACTATGTATAGAAGTCTAATTAAATATGGTTCATTTTCTTATTTGATCCCTATTAGATTTTAGAACGTCGTTCCGTGATTATCCTTCCTTGTATCTCATTTTATTCGATTTCTGAACATCGAACGGATGTGTGTATTTAATTGGTTCAACATTATTACGTATTCATTTAATTCATATGAATGATGCAACGTTTACCCATTCGAAATGATACGCAACAGTGACACGATACAAGTGGGTATACGTCTTTAGGAAGGATCGACACGATTAACCTTTGATAAAAGAAGCCAGTCGATCCGGAGGTAATCTTTTAGGTTCGGTGTCAAGAGCGTTTCGTGTTTTCTCTCACGTTTAACTTAGGGAGGTGAACATGAGGGTCGATTTTTCTTTTTCCTTTTTTTCGAAATTAGAACGCGTTACAGCATTGTATCAAATCTATCGCTTTTTTCCTCATGATCGGACACTATTTTCTGTATTTTTTGAGCGGAAAGATTCGCGTTACGAACGGATACAGAACGTTACACGAATTCTCGCTATCGATCTGTAGTTAGTACGTGAAAAACGTGCCAGGTATCGGCGGATTGAGGCCCGATAAATCACGATCGCTCGATTTATTTCGTTATACGGTGCGAACTGTTTTTTTCAAGACGATCAAGGAAGCGCAGCTAAAACTTGGTTGCAGATAAATCATTCTCGGCGCGCAGAAAGCGAACGTAAAAGCAGAGTTTGCACAAAGGAAACGATTACGAGAAAATTTTTAGGGATCCTTCCACGTTTGGATGAATTCCAAACGCGTAGAGAGATTTATCGTGTTCACGGGCGCCGCGATTTTACTGTATCCGGTGCCCGGGGTTGCACTTCCTCTTCCGAATGTTCAGAGTAGTATCCCTGTTACTCTTCAATCGAATGCAAACAAACGTGAAGTGTGGACGGATAAAAGAATTAGTTACCGTCGGAGTTAGTTGCTCGATTTATGTACTCGTTGCAATTTTTCCAAGTTACCATCTCGAGTAAATCGTTGTCGATTATTCATTATTCGTACCCTGGAATTTGTTACATTTTAACGAACATTCGTACTGAACGAAGTTCGAATGGAAATGCTTTATTTTGAATAACAATTCGCATCTTTACTTGCCGGATGCACTTCAAGTCCTTTTGCGATACACCCACGGGGATACAATTTCGTGGATTCGA